ACACGTGCGCCTAACGCTACGTAGACACACACACATACACAAGATATATATCATATTACTTGGAGCTAAAGTGAAAAAGAATATTGAAATATACCCATGGACATGTGTATGATGAATGTTCTATTTCAAAAGCATGCCTGTGACGTGAGATGATCTCAGAGGGCTCATTATGATGTGTTTTCAGTTTTCTCAAATGGCACTGCTCAAACATGCCAATTTTAGATGGAATGTCATTGACATACGTGAAATTGACATCGATGCTATATGGTGTCAGACTGACTCTGTACCAGAATGAGCTGAATTAGATACATGCTACGGTTATATTTACCAAACCAAGAGAGCATATTGTTATATTCTCGAAATAATGGTGTTTCAGAAATTAACGTCAAGCCGAAATGGAGTGATAGTATTGATCTTAACTATCCAGAAAAATATCAGAAAAAACTAGTGCTGCATGGCAAATTGCTACCATAAAAAAATGTTATGTTAATAAATACTGTGTAATGTATAATATTTACAGAAAAGTTAATCAATCAAAATTAAAATGAAGAGCATTGTCTGATATTTATAAGAATTATATATACTGTATAGCAAAGTTGAAATTATTTATTTTTTTTGAAAAAATATTATAATTAAATCATTTTTTCCCTCATAAAAGCAATTATTTGCCAACACAAGCAAAAAGTTTTTTGAATCATTTAAATCAGATGCTTACTTATCTCATAAACTGACATTTATAGTACATTTAGTTTTGTACCTTCGAAATATCTGGGCCTACCTTTGCGAAAAACTAATCAGCACTTCTCCCAATCATTACAAATTGAATGTTTTTCAGATCATTCAAATCGGATGCTCTGTTCTCTCAACAACTCGATTTCTATTTTCTGCACTTTTTGCTCCGCATCTCCGAAACGGCTGGACCTGCCTTTGTGAAAAACTAATCACATCTTCCTATCAATAGGAATCGAATATTTTTTGAACCATTAAAATCGGTTGATTCCTGTGCCCAAAAACGTGGACAAAAAAATACGGACATACAAAAAACACGCACATATATTTTTTCTGAGGTACACCAAAATGTTCAGAAACCTTTGAAACGTAAAGATATGCAAAAATTTTCATTTTTGGTTTTTGGCCCATCACTATAAATACCCTACGAGAAGTTAAACATAGTTTATTTGTAAATTGTAAGCTTTTAATGACAAAATTAGAGCTTTGGTGGAATTATGGTCATTTTCCGGTGGTCAATGGTTATTATTTTCGACTGTGAATAAAATTTTTAGAACATTGTCAATTTAGCTCATAGGAATCTTTATGTATTTCTGATTACTAAACAAAACTGAGTTAAAAAAATGAGAGGCTCTTTTTTTTCAAAAAAATGCATTAAAGTGTGTTGGTAAATTCTATCAAAAGTTGGCACGTTTATTCAGATTTGTAAAATGATAAGGTACTTAATAATTTTATTATTAAAGAAAAATCGAGTAAAAAAATAAAAATCTAAAAATAACACGATAACGGCTAAAGCATTTTGCTCACACTCAAGACTCAAGTGATTGTGAGTAAAATGCACTAGCAAAAATCATGTCAGTCTTAGGTTTTAATTATTTACTGATAATTTAGAATGACTTAAAATTAAAATGTCCAGAGAACACATTACCTAGCAAATCGGATTTTTCAGTGACAACATGAACTTCTCCTTCGATAATTCTATAAAAAGATGTAAAATTTAAGAATCACACAATTTGCATCAATTAGAATACTTATTCCATAGATTCCATAGAAATAAGTATATCTGTAAATATCGTATTACGTACTAAATTATTACTTTCTGTATCTATTCTAGATTTACAAATCATATATTCCTGAATAATTACAATATTTTGCATCATCTACATGTCATATGTGGTTCATATATCAAATTTTCATTCAAGTTCTGACACATTTCAAACTAATTGCACGTAGGCATAATTCAAATTTTGCCGTTTGAAGTTTTCCAACCGTTTTGATCCGACAATTTTGGATCACGTCAAAATAATATTAAACTATCATTAATTTCTATGCGCTGTCTCATCTCTGCGTTCATCTCGGTTTGGGAAAGGTCTTGTAACGATTTTCTATCATGCCAATAAAATAATAATTGTATTCATATGATATATATATACAGGGTAGGACGGGGTGTAAAGGTCCAATTTGATGTAAGGAATTATTCTGTAAACAACAAACCAACTACATAAAAACAAATAACACATGACAAATAACTAATTATGTTCAGTAAGATTCCTTGCTATTTCATTATTGTAGAACTATTTTTTTTATATTTTTCAAAAATTTGGTGTCAAATTTTCTTTGAATGACTAACCTTTTTCCTTTCAGTAGGCAAAAAGATCGACCATTTAATTTATAATTTCAAAGAGATTTTATGAAATAATATCTTCATTATTTAATCAATGCAATGCAGTTTCATAGAATCCATTATATAAATTAGTTGAGTTTGCTTTCATCGTCTTCATACTTTAATCTTAATAACTATTAATTTCAAACATAAATTATTTTGAATATATTATTTATCATCTCTTTTCGAAACTGATCTCTCTACGGTTTTGTTTCATCGCCTCGTATCAGGGGGATGAATCCATGCTAGGCGAGATATCTTGCATTAATCTTCATAAGGGTTGCTCCCAGTGGATAAACCTTTCTCCGTAGTCTAGTATTAAGATTGGGTACACCAGACTTTACCAAGTCGTATTATGGAAGAAAAATATTTTTATGTGTACACATAATTTTAAAATGAGGTCTTATATTAAAACTTTTAAAAACTAATATGTTTTTCATACTCAGCGCCATGTGGTTAATAGCTTTATTTATGATGTATTTGTAATAACCGAATCGATTTTAATACATCAAAAACTGTTTCAAAGATATTATTTGGGAATGATACTGATTAGTTTTAGATGAAAAGTTATCGAGCCGTTTTTGTTATTAACCGTGGAAAAAAAATTTAAGCCGATTTTTATGGAACTTTTTTGGCGATATATATCATGGTCTTATAGAACTTACTGAAATATTAAGGCCTTAAGACAAGTAGTTTCATTTTAAAAATTCATCAAAGTTTGAGAAAATGAGTAGTAGTAAAATTAGACGATTTACTTGGTATAACGATAGAGTACTTGGTCTTAATGAACATACTAAACCATTCAAGTTCCGCGGAAACTGGTTAAATTATAAAAATTGTTAATTTTTGAAAATTTGCTTTCAGAAAATACTCCGAGTTAACGTGTTAATTGGTTTTCAATTATGTGTAAAGAATCACTTATAAATTAATTTATTTTTTATTGATTAAGTCGATTATTTGCACATATTGGAAAGTTCATGTAACTTGCCTCAAGGCAAAATACTAATACCAACTAATCTAAATTTTGAAATTTATCAAAGAAAGAAAGAAAAACGTTTTCTTTATTATTATTTATGTCAATAACTTGCTTTCAATCTGTATTAAGCATAACCTCGGGTTGAAATTTTCATCCGGCAATGAAATGAATAACTTTGAATACGAAAATTATCACAGTTGTTAAGACGCGGACTAAATATAGAACTAAACTTTGGCGCTGTAAAGAAAATTCATAACTTTTCGTTCTAATCTAATTACTCGGTTGCAAGCGACGACTTAAAGAACTTCTTAATTTCTGCCTTGTTTCCGGACTTTATTTGCCGCATTTATTAGATTGCGCGCGCTCAAATGAACAGTCATTCAACTGTCAGAAATAAATCAGAACCGATTTTTATACTTTTTAGGTTCATATTACACTGTCAGCAAAAAATTCCTGGCAATAAATTTATCTCTGGAATATTCTTTGGTAAGCAAAATCTCTTCAAAATTTCTTCCTTCAAGACGTCTTCCTTTAAGTTTCCATCAATCACGATTTATACCGGCACAAATGGTCTACATTTACTTGTAAATAAAAAATTTATTTATAAATACTCACGTGATCAACTGTTTGTAATTTGGTTTTATTTAAATGTTAAATCTCATATCTGAACAAATTGAAAGTTATATGTTAAATGAAAATAGTTTATGTTGGATATTATAAAAGTTTTGTATTATGTTTGTCAATATATGTCGTTTCATATATCATCTTCTAATAAAATTTTATGAATGAACTTGTTAAAACAGTTTAAAATCTTCATGAAGATATTTGTTACATTCATTTGATTACATTTTACAAAAATAATTATGAAGACATTTATTTCATTCTTTTACATCCCAGCTCTTCTTCTATAAGCCAGTATTACATTCACCTAAATGGGAGATTTTCTTGTGAAAAGAAAACTTGATGACCTCCAAGAAAATTGCAAGAGGTTTTAACCTTTTTCCAAAGGAATAATATGACGAAATATTATTAGCTTATTGAATTTGTCATAGATTGTGATGTGGGTCTCCGATTGCCATGAAATTGCTTTATATGTCAATAAAATTCAACGTATTTATGTTATCATATACCCTTTGGAGAGTTAAGTGTCCCTGTAGTACCACGGGATAAGGTTTCTTTCAATGGCTTTTACTATTCTTCACAAAACGTATTATAGAATATATAATATTGTTGTATTATACCTAATACTGATTTTGGTACTTCTATAGAAATGTTATTAAGCCTTCGAAAAAAATATTCACTCTGGTGGTTTGAAAATTATATTAATCTTATTGATATAGTTGCCATATGAATTCAGTTTTATTTATATAATTCCACATTTATATCATGATATTAAGTAATCTACGATAATGGTAAAAAAGTAATCTAATATTATGTTACAAGTTATATGAATAATATATAAATTATATCAGTCACACATATCAAACTTCCAATAATATTTTTGTTGCAGCGCTTTGTTTTATCAAATTGTATATATCATGTTTTTAACAAATACTTATTATTAATTGTTTTATTTATTATTTTATATAAACAATATTTTTGCTAAAAAGTAATATTTTTATTATTTTGCAGTTGTGCCAATGAGACCTATTATTTTCGATGACAAAGGACGAGATGTCACCAAATTTGTTGGACCATATGAAGAAGGTGCTGATATGAAATTAACATGCATGGTCTCTGGAGGTAATTATAACCTAAAAAAATCTATTTTATTTTAAGTACGTGTTCAATGTGTATATTATTTATAAACTAGTTCTATACACTTCTACAAAAAATTAATATCTCTTGGTTTTTGTTTTACGGTGGAGACGCCAATACATTTATAAATCAACATGGTACAAAAAATTCAATAAATTATTTGTAAATTATACAAATAATAGAAATGTTAAATTGCTGTAAACGTTTAAAATATCGATACAACTAAACAAATAAAATAAGAACGCTATCAGACATCCCTAGAAATTTTCATGCCATTAATAAATAAAGGAACGTAAGCGTGGCGAGCAATGCAAAATGAAATTCTCCATGGATATAAACTGTTTTGCATAGACATGTGGCAGCCAAGTCAAGAATATTCAGTCATCCTGTCGGACAACTTGATGGCGATATAAGCTGAGTTATTTTTTCATTCTTTACGTCTATTTTTATGTTTTACTTTCAAGACTTTTCTTACCAGAGCCGCATTATAATATACTCTTGACTTAAATATAATTCTATATCATTTGTATTTTTGATTTGTAATATATGATTTATTATCACCAGGAATATTACAGTAATGTTAAATAATTATTATTATAAATTGAATAATATACCGAGAATCAACATTTTTTAAATATATAAATCATTTCCGACAAAACAATGTAAAATGGAATTGAGGTGTTAATTATATATAATTCAGTTGTATATATGTTTATATTTAACATATTATTGCATTCGTAGTACTATAAACTTGTGATTTGGTCGAGGTATAAATAACATTAAAAACTATATCAAAATCTGTATTTGGCGATTTTACGTAGAAGGCCGATAAACTAATAGGTATCCATCACATATTTTTAAGAGTTAAAACAAATCATTTTTGGATATATCTACCTTCTACAATGGGTAATTTAATATTAGATTTATTTCACGATTAATCGTTACATGTAAATAAAATGAAATTATTTTCAAAGAATCACTCCGTTCCTGCTGGCATATGCATGGTGTCTCTTGCGGTGTGAGTTAGACATTTCAGAATACTTTAGCGCTTACCCCCGCCTTGACAGATGTCAGGGATGACCGAATGTCAGGGTCTGCGACTGGCAAACAAATTGCTAGGAGAAAATAAAGTCGCCGTTTACAAATGGATCTCATCGTACGTCACTCCGTAAAATTTTCTAAATATTTTGTGGATGTAAACTCGCTCTACATTTTGGGGTTATTATACGATAAATGGGAGTTCATTTATAAAGAACTCTTGTTGTAAAAAATCATATCAGCATAAATAATAGTTTTATTCTTCATTATATGATTGTTGGAATATGTATATATTTTGGTAGTATATCTTGTACTCAATTGCATGAAATATTATGATTTTTAATTGTTAAAATATTATTAAAATAAAAATGACCTTGTTGACTTGTTAACTACTATTGAATGTGAGATGTTAAACCTAATTAAATTACTAAATTAACTTTACCGGAAGAGTGATTTTATCCTAAAAATTTGTCAAAAATAAATATTTATAAATAAAAGGTATAAATAAAAAAATCTATTATGTGATTCAATTCTTGCAAGTTCTAGGTGCTGCGCATTCGTGAAAACAAACTTTTTTTAATATTTTGTTGCTTCAATTTGTCGTAAATAAATACATTGAATCTATAAATTTAAATCGTCAGAGATAAGCTCTAAGTGTCGACTTATGATATATAAACTTTGGCTTATATTTTTATAACATCCAGATACCTAAATCTATGTAAACATCCGCTTAAAACTTGTCGGTTTTTAGAGAAAATACCTATTATAAAACCTGGATATTAATCTTAACGTGTTGTTTCATAAAATTCCAAACAAATTATTTTTCTAGGTAAACCAAGGCCTTCAGTGAGATGGTGGCGTAGCGAGACTCTGGTAGAATCAACGGATTCCAGTGATGGATTTCCGAATTTTCCCCAGGTGCGCGCAAACACCTTACTTGTTAGATCATTGACGAGACAAGACCATGGGGTGACTTACACCTGTCAAGCATCGAATACAAATCTGGTTCCACCGATGTCTGCTACTGTGGCTGTGCAGATGTACTGTGAGTAATAGAATTAAAATTATTTATGTGCTTTTAATGATTAAAATATTTGGCATTTTGATAATTAATATTTACTTCTTGTAGAATAAGTTATAGTCATAGCAAAAATGAAAAAAAATGCATATAGTCACGTTTCAAAAGTTTCTGAACATTTTAACATACCTCAGAAAAAATGAATGTATGTGTGTATATGTAGGTATGTAGAATACAATTACGATTTCGAGAGAGGTTCAACTGATAAGGAAGAATAAAAAAAAAATATTTGAATCCTATTGATGGGGAGATGTGCTGAGTAGTTTTTAAAGAAGGCAGGCTCAGTTGTTTAGCAGATGCGGGTAAAAAGTGAAAAAAATGAGAATTCTGTTTTCGATAGATTGGAGCATCCGATTTGATAGAATAAAATAATATTCGTCAATAAATCATTAAATATATTTTGTGTTGACTGAATAAAGAATCGATTTAATTTTTACTAAGTGTTGTCCAACGATTTCAGAGATGCAGAAACAAATGACAATTGTTTGTCAAATTTGATATTTATAAACCATTTATATTTTTAATCATATCCGAATAAAATTATTGGCAAAAAGGTAGATAATTAGATAGCTAAACAGGTAATCAGGTAAAATAGTAAAAAAGGAGATAGGTTGACAGACAAACTGCTAAAATGGTAGAAAGGTAAATAGATATACTGGTAAACAGTTAGTATTGATAATATACGCTGGTAGGCAGGTAAATTGGTCGACAGATAAATAGATAAACAGATAGACAAGTAGAGAGGTAAACAGGAAGATAAGTAAACTTGTGAAATGGTAGAAAGGTAGACTGATAGAGAGGCAAACTATTAGGCAGGTAGGCAGGTAAATAGGTGTACAGACAGATAAGTAAACAATAAGGCAAAATGCTGCTTGCAACTAGTTTATCTCAAGAATTTTTATTCTTCAGTCTTCGGTCAAAGTGATTCCAATCAGATACTGATATCAATAAGTTTCACTACCTTCAGCTATATTCTTCCATTATAGTTTTCGCCGATGAAACATATCCCGTTCGCTATCGCATGTCTGTTTATCGATCACCTCGGGTTACAGGTTAGCGATTCTCGATTAGTTTATATCGATAATAAACAGACGAGTTATCCTCTTATCCTCGTTTTACCGTTATCGGGGCCCCTATCGTTTTGCGGGAAACTTTCAAGTGGCAACATGCTCGTATATCATTGTCAATTATCGGATCTCGAGTGTCCTACAACTTAAGACGGCTTACGGGTGCCATCGACGGAAAACAAAAACAGTAAAGTTTAGGTCATTGTCTGCTATGAAAAAGAAACAGCATCGAGAGGATAGAGGAAATATTTTAAGGAAGGTTATATTCGTTTATTTTTAATTTGACAGGTTGAGAAATCTATTAGTGGAATGACAAATCGAATTTAAACTTGTTTTATTCAAAATATTTATAGCGGACAGTATGCAATTGAAATTGTAGTCAATTTTATCTAGTTTCTTCTCATCTATTTAAAAGAGAGTGCCCTAATATAAAGTTTGTGAGTTATTCGACAAAAAGTAAAAAAAAATGTCCAGAATTTTCTATTTATTACTAAAGAATGAAAAATCAAATTCAAAGTCGTTTTTTTAAAACATTTCTATCGAACAGTACGCAACTGTTGGCATGGAATTGTAGTAAATTGTATCCAGTTTTTTCTTATCTAACTAAGAAAGAGTACACTCGTACAAAGTTTCTGAATTATTTGACAAAAAGTAAAAAATATCCCGAATTTTCTATTTATTACTAAAGCATAAAAAATCAAATACAAAGTCATTTTATTCGAAACATTTCTATCAGACAGTATGCAACTGTTGGCATAAAATTGTAGTAAATTTTATCTAGTTTCTTCTTGTCTAACTAAAAACGAGTGCCCTCAGTTTATCTTGATACTTAAGATTTGTTTAAAATATTTCTGTATGTGTAACATGTTTTAGTACTCTCTCAAGCTCTGCAAGTGATAGTTGGTGTTTTTTGTATTTGCAAACATTAAATGAAATTTAAATAAAATATTAAAGAATGTGTAGTATATAAGTAATTTTTTATACTTACTCTGAAGATGAGGCATACCATGATCTCGAAACGTTTGTAAGAATCTAAGTGTTGTATTGTTCATATTTAACATTTAATATATATATATATATATATATATATATATATATATATATAGTATTAATTACAAAATAATTATTTTGATATTTAGATATTTATAACCCATCAAAACTTATAAGATATTTCATAAATTATACATTAACGAAATCAAGGCAAATAAAGGCCCTTTTGATTGACGTCGGAAGTAAATTATATACAAATCCACCTTTAGAATGTCAATCAAAGGACTTGGGATTAATACAAAGTGTCTGTGAAAAGATTTATTAACAAATGTGATGAAATGAACGGATTACAGGAATCACTTAAATAGATAATTAGGCTGAAGATGTCACGGTGGAATTAAATTTATATTTAGAACCGTTATAAGCTTGTGTATACGTTTGGGGTAATATCTTTGATCATAAAAGAAAATATTTTCTTAAATTTTGTCAGTCAATCTTGCCCGTTTACAATCTTTATGATAATATTATCATTATAATAAAACATCTTTACTTAGCTGCCAAAAAAGCTTGTGGAATCATTACTGATTAGTAAAATTAATGAAATAATGAATAATTTTTTTTTGGCCTAGTTTAATTTAGATTTATTGGAATGCAAGTCACATAGAAAAAAAACATTTGTTTATTATAATAAATATTCAAAATGATTTTTATGGTGATTTTAGTAAGAGTTGCATCAGCATTTGTTTTGCTTAATCATAGAAGATACATTCACTAATCTTTCTTCATTTTTAAGTTCTACCAATAACTTATGCGAAAAAGATACGAGTGCGGTAGCAATTATGAGACCATTTTTCGGTTTTTATTTGTTTACTCGAAATTTTTCTATAATAAAATTATTGAGTATTTTACCATTTTATTATCCTGATTGAATGCACCAACTTTTGATGAAACTTGCCAGCACACTGTAGTATTTTTTTTAATGGAGGACCTCTCAAAGTCGACCGATTTTAAAAAATTCAAATATATGGTATCAACAGTATAAAACACTTTCAAAAACTACAACATCATTCAAACAATATAGTCACTCAGCTTCTTGAGACATCAACTTCAAGAAGACTGAAGAAGAAGCTGCCCGAAGATAATATGGAGGAACCATAGAACTACCACAACCTTATATAAACAGAATAATTGAATCATTTATTGAAGTGATTCTCTGAATATGATTGTAATATTGATCCGATAAATTTATATGTGTGTTTACAAGTGTGTGTGTATGTGTGTGAGTGAATGACATAAGCCAAATAGCTCATAGAATAGTTATGTATTCTGATTGCTATTGAAAATAAAAATTAAAAAAAAAAAAAAAAAAAAATATATATATATGGTAAAATATCTCTTTTGTTTTGTTTTCTTTAATCCTATAATTAAATGTAGAAAATACGCCTTAAAATAACTTGCTATAGCTTTACAAGTATAAGATCTACTACTGGGTAGCCTTATAACAAAATCAATTTTATTTTATCAGCACAATTACTAAATGTCTATACTGACAGCTTGTAATTTATATTGAATAAAAAATTATGGTTCAACAAAAAGTCTTAATTCGTGAAAGGGCCAGTGCGGGTTTTTTTTACTGTGGTCCTTGAAATGTTATTCACGGTTACGATTCTGTAGTTTTAAAGAACAAAATTCATGACAAAATCGAAAAATGGTTATAATTTCTCCAAAGCTCTAGGTTCCACTTAAATGCTTGTAATTTCCAAACAACGTAAGGTAATTTTTTTCGGAAAAGTTAAGGTCCATACTATCACCCTGTTGCTCGACGTCAAAACTTGGGACACAGTGTAAATATATATTAGGGTAGACATTTTCGAATTTCCTTGCTCCCAAGGGCTCAAATGGTTCCAAATTGATAAAATACCATTCTCTGAATGTTTTACCACTTAATATTGTCTTTTAGATAGAGTGCAATTCAATCAAGTTTTGTATGGAAATAGCATGAAAAAAATTTCAAAAATTTTGCCGAGCGTCGAATTTTTAATAAAAAATGACACGAATTTTCACTTTCAATTGATTTGTCGCAAAGTTTAGTAAGTTATGCCTAAAATTTTTTAATTTTCAAAATTTTTTTCATGCTATTTCCATACGAAGTTTGATTGAATTTCGCACTATCTAAAAGTTGATATTAAGAGCTAAAACTTTCAGAGAAGTGTGTTTTTTCAATTTGGAACCATTTGAGCCCGTGGGAGCAAGGAAATTCGAAAATGTCCATTGTAAGGACCCTATTATATATATATATATATATATATGTGTGTGTGTGTGTTTGTGTGTAGACTGCGTATATAATATAATCCCTTACCCAAATCAAATCATCCGTTGTCTCGGTACATTTAATTCAGTGCATGACATTTCCGCGTCTTCTCCGAAGCTTTCCGTGTAATTCGTTGCCCGGGGCCGAGTTTTCCGGAATGAAAAGTGGCAGTGCTCGCTCGTGCTCTCCCGGTTAGTTTTTCCATCGCATCATTGTGCGGAATTGTACGCGAAACAAATCTAATAAAAGTGTGCATTACGTCTGCCGACGGCAGCCAAGGCGGAACTCTGTATCGCTAAAAACTGAGATGTGCTCAGTGCAGCCGATACTTGAAATAATTTTAATAATTATAATTTTGAAATTAAATTTCATTAAATTCTTAATTAAAATATATTTATGCTTATACTATCACCAGTTTTATACCAATATGGACTACTTTATGCTTGGGCGAAACTAACTTTCACAGATGAAAGTTACAGATTTTCAACTTCGTCTTTCTTAATAATTAAACGACAAATCTAGATTTTCAAAAGTATTTATTCATTCATTTATTTATTTTAAACTTATACCCCACAGAATATTTCCAAGAGGACTTAAAA